CGCGGCGATAGCAAGAGCTTAATCCTGTACACGACAGTCGGATTTAACATCGCGAATGCTCGACGGTAGATAGTAAAAATAAATCGCGAACGCGCTTTCCTCGTCTTACTGAAATTTCTCGACCGCGAGAGTGTGCGAGCGGACCAAAAAAAAAACAAACGCTGAGCGCGATCGAACGATCAATCGTTACGTTGCTCTTACGGAACTCACGCTGGAAGTCCCGTTGATTGAATCACCACCCGAATATATGACCTGAATCGAAAGCTAGGTAGTACAAGTTATTTTTTTTAACCTCGTTAGCAATTTGTCACTGGCTGATTATACGCTAAAATGTAGAATCGGTCTTGTGATTGTCTAGCCGTTGTCTAGTCATGATACATGAAATAAAGTCGAGCAGCTGGCACACTGCCTGTTCTAAAATATATAATCTAGCTGCTATACATCACTAGCATTTATAAATGAGATAGTAAATACAAATTTGTTTTCTCACGTCAATCGAACCGCCCGATCCAACTTGGAGGAGACAGAAAAATTCAAGGTGAAGCGTGAACAGTTATCTTGGGATCCTCTCTGAGAATAAGAAAATAGAAAGTTTCTTTATCAGAAAACGGTTATTCGAACAGAGGAGGAATCCAAGCTGTCGTCTTAACGATAAAGTGCAGCATTGTCGACAGGCTTGTGCCGAACCGTTCGAGTGATGACTTTCGAAGATCGTCCCCTAACAACCTTATCATCCTCCTAATCGCGCGATAACTCTCTCGTTCCCTCGCTCACTCGGCGAAAACTCGTCGTTCGCTCGACGAAAGTCGATCGGAGAAGGAGCAAATTTTACGGTGCAGCGAAATTCGCGGGATCGCGCAGTTTTACGCGCGTGTGTGTGCGTGCGTGCGCATTGAGAGCCCGATTCATGCCGCCGTTTGCCGGAGTTTATTTGGGAATGGCGGCCCGTTTCCGTGGGTGAATTGCAGCGACTCCGACCGTAAATTTCGCGCCGCGTAGGATCTTCGTGGGCGATTATTCGCCGCGGGCGTCCAAGATACGCGATGATGAAACCAAACACCATCGAGTTTCGTTTGGACGTCTGGCTGGGAGAGCGGCCACGGCCGTTTCCAGAATTCCGATGGGACACCTCACCTGGCCGATCCGCGGAGAACAACGGGTTTTTTTCTCGCCTCGCTACGCCTCGGCTGGACCCGACAGACGTCATCGAAACGTCGTCGATTACGTCCTTCCGATAACCGTGAGCGAAGGAAATGAATGGGACGATATTTACGAATGGAGGAAAAGACTCATGTTTTTTTTTTTTCAATTAAACTTATAGAAATCTCTTCTCTCGAGAAATGTTTTTGTAATGGAAAATAAAACTGAAGATTCGTGAAAATGTCTATCGTAGCAACGTAACAGATTTCGTCGATAATCGCATTGAATTTATTCATTTACAAGAAGACGAGATGTTACTGGCTGTTCTTAAATCGATCTTTTTAAATCGCAATAATGTTTCTGACGAAAAAATGGCTGAAAGGAAAATTTTTGCGATTCCACTGTTCCTCTCACGATAAATGTATAAACAAAATGTACGCGGCCAACCCTTAACCGAACTCGACCGGCCCATATCGGAAATCAAACACATAAATTTCACAGAATATGTATCTTCCAACACCTCGCAGTTGCTACGTGTCGCTTCGTAATGCGCTCGGAGCGAACAGAATCAATTCTACAAGATTAAGTGTCGATAAAGCTAAATTTGAGCATTTCTAGCCGCGCGGCTCGAATTTCATCGACGCGCAACGATCGTTAAATAATTCATTAGCGAGCCGCTAACAATTTATGCGCGTCGAACAGTTCGTTGTTTCGTCTAATGATTTCACTGGCCGTTCAATTCCTGACGCTCGATTAACCGAAATTTGTGATTCTAAGCGAAACAAGGCAAGATAACACGCGCTTTCTTGAATAATGCAACGTCTTTTATATGTTTAACGCCTTTTATTATCTTTAACCTGGCCGTTTCGCTAATTCAACCGAAGACAAATGGTCTCCCTGCTAGGCTATAACTAGCCGAGAAATGTGTCCTCCCGCTGTGTGGTATATGAAACTAAGAGAAACATAGGAATGTATATGTTACTCAAATGTTTATACTCGTCCGAACATTGACTTGATTATCGCTCGACTAGATGACTCGCACGAGATCAAAAATGTTATCGCATCTAAATATTTGACACCCATCTGTTTACTCGAAGAAAATTAAACATCGGTCGTCCGTTTGTGCAAACTAAATGTCCCGATATGATATTTCAGATTTGGTCGTGAATATAAGAGAGAAAGATTGATTTCTATTTGTTGAACGTTATTACTCGGAAATATCTACTTGTTCGCGTTTTATTTATAGACCGATTCATAATAATCTATTCGTTTGTTCTCGTGTATAGCTAGCGTAATAATTCATTTGCATCGGAACAAGTTGCACACGATCGCGCCGGGCATTCCATTGTCGCGCGCATTTCGCAAACGAGTTTCCTAAACGAAATGTAGCGCGCGTTCTTCTTTTGCATAAAATATTCGCGGTCCATTATTTCGCGAGAACGTATTTCGACGGGTTTAGACGCATTGTGTTTACCGTTTCATTCATGCCGTCGCCGCGTGTTAAATAATTCATTAACATCGGAATAATTTACGGTCGTTATCCGAATCACACGTTCATCGGCTTCAAACACGATTCGATCTCTATTGTCGATCGCGCGACACCGGATAATCCAGCGAACGATTCCCAAAGAAAACACACATGCTTCGGAAATACCCGAGTCGACGGCGAGAAGAAATAATCGCGGCTCCCGGGAATTCGTCGGAGTTAAAGAGGCTTTCGGCCCTCCCTTCCCCTTTGCGAAAGAGATCCGGTAGTAATAATTGATGCAATCAAGTCGGAGTGCTCGGCTCCGAACCGCTCATCGTAATTAGAAGAACGTAGGAAAATTTCTCGCTAGGGCAACGTTCGTTCAATTTTCGCGCCAGAGGAACGTTGTATTTGTTCGCGGTGTAATAATCAAATTATTGGTATACACGAATATAATAAACGCAACATCAGCAAATAATGTTATCTTAATAATAATTCCTATTACCGGCGCAATAACAGCCTCCTTCATCGGCAATTCCCGCGCGACTTGCCCGATTTACCTCCAATTTATAGCGAGCGACGGATTGCCGCGCAAATTCCCGCATCATTAAAAGAAACGAAAGTACGACGAACAGCTTTCGTACGCCCGGGCCATTTATCTCGATAATGACAGTTCGGAACTGTATTAGAGGACTTCATTGGGGGGCGCCGCGCCAGGTTGTAATTTTCCTCGTCGACATTTTTACGTTCGCGAACCTTATCGTCCCTCTTACCCTCACACAGACTTCTTGTTAATCGCGCGAGTGTCTTCTTTTTAATGAGACAGGTGTCTTAAGTGGAGAGTTAAAGTAGCAAAACAATCTGGCGGGATTCGCGCTACGTTTTATTCGACTTCTTGGTTATCGGTTCGAGGAAATTTCAAAAAAATTTATTTTTAATTTTTTCCGATTCTTCGGAAATATTTTCCCATTTATTAAAGTATAGTTCGGACAATTTTTTTAATTCGTGTGAATAAAATCGTATCAAAACGCACTTTTCTCAAAATCATGTTTTTCGGCGGATTTGCAGACATAGAACAAACGAAAACATGGAGACAATTTTTTCAACACATTGAATGGTAATAATACGGCGCAGACATTTAATTCTATATTAAATTAGCTCGATTATAATAGCCGAAGTTATTGCTCCCCACAACAATTGCTCTTTACATAATTATTTTATCGCCGGTCCCGCTAATTATCGATACGCAGTAGCATTCCTGCTGGTGATGTTATCGGCACGATATTGCTCGCGTTCAAATTTTTGTGTGATAATATCGAGCGGCGTGCTGAAGAAGGGGCTTCTCTACATACGGTTAACGTTGACAATCGGCGCGGGCATGCATGCAGTCAGACAGGCAGATAATTATAGTCCACGTTTCGACGTGCATCATCAGCATTTCCGGAATTAATACTTGAACGTGACGAGACATCAAGCGGAAAACTTTCCGCGCGCGGTTCACGTCCCGTCAAGACGCTTGTCACCGTATTTTATTTCCCGACTCGACCCGTTCGCTTTGAGAGCCTAGACGAGAGCCTCCAACCCAGCTGTAAGAGTCTATAAATTTTACTCGCGCTTATAACCGTCGGCGCATAAGAAAAAATACCATCGTGTCTTTTGTTTTTAAACTGAAAGAAAAACAATTCGCTCTTTTATTTCAGAATAAATAATCTCATTACAACAGGAGAGATGACAAATATAGCAGACATGATTGAACTGTTTATCGTGTCGTAAAACAAACGTCATCTTCGTTTCTCTACGTTCGATCTTTTTTGCAAACATCTCGGCGACCTTCTTTCTATCGTGACATTCTTTTATGTGGTCATTTCAAGAGGAGGCCAAGCCGCGTGCGATGAACATTAACGGTCGAAAATTAATTGGCTAGTTTTTAATGGGGCAATGAAAGTAATGAGCCGTGACGGCAGGCCGACGGTAGACCGTCGGGAGCGGTGCAAAAATTGCGCGATAGGCCGCTCCATTTTCGCCGGGAATGGGCCGCATTAAACGTTATGGATGGCCGTACCGAAAGGGATGAACGATTTTTCTTCGACTTAATGCGTGGCAAGAGGGGCTCGCGTCGAGAGAGAATTATAGACCGTGGGCAACATTGCCGGTCTTGTTAATGAGCTGCACGATCGACGATACGAATTCAGTCGCAACAACACTTTCAGTTGTAAACACACACCGAACTTTTCGGAATAGATTTTTTTTTGGAGGAAAACGGACATTTATAGCAAAGTCTGAAGAGGTATTTTCTGAAAGAAGAATCGAAGGAAAACGAGGCTTTTGACGATTCGCGACATACGTACTCTCTTACCGCCAAAACCGTCGATGATTTGAAGGAGGAACTCACCATGCTGATGCAGTTTCCCACCGCCGACGGCCTGCTGCTGCCGGTGTTGCTGCTGCATCTGCTGTTGACGCGAGTCCCGCGCCATGATCGCGGCGATGCTAAAGTCAGTCGCGCATTGCCGGTTCGAATTGCAATTGTTGTTGAGATTGTTGAGGAGGCTGCTGTTCGGCGACGGGCTGGAGCTTTCGTCACCGTCATCTCCAGCTGACAGCCCGGTGGGAACCGCGGAGGCGGCGGTGCCCTCCATCTTCCTGCCCAGGTAGAGGTGTCGAGATTCCTCGTCGTCCTCCTCGCTACCGGCTCCTCCGCCGCCGCCACCGCCGCCGCCGCCGCCGCCTCCACCGCCGCCGCCGCCGAACGAAGTCAGTGTCAGTCCGTTTCTCTTCCTACCGGCGAGACCTCGCGACTCCAGCAACATCACCTCGCACGCTTCTTCCTGGGGGGGGGGTCCGGTCTACTCTGAAACGCGCGTCTCTTTCTACGGGCGTCGATAATAACAGCGGCAACGGTTTCTGTCCTCGACACGCCGATACCGATGCATCCTCTCTGCTAGCTCCGAGCCGCGATGCTCCACATCACACGCGCGCGACAACGAATGGCACTGGTGACACTGACCGAGGCGGTTACCGAATCGCGCGCAAGGACAACATCGCTTCCTTCGATATTCGTTTACACTCCGCGCGAGTGAAACGTGGCGCAGACAGAGCGAGAGGCAGGGAACGACAGACCGACCGGTTGCCCGACAGACTGACCCGCGCCACCGCCGGTCGCCTCTTCGTTTCGGCCCCCATCCCCCCTCCCGCGCCAAAGGGACGGTAAGGGAGATGAAAGGATACTCGGCTGAGTGGCAGCGGGTGTCGATGGGCGGGTTCCAGGAACAACACGCTCCTCCTCTGGGCTCCGCCCGCAGCTTTCTCCCCGGAGCGGCTCGCCCCGAGAACGCTCTTCCGTCTCATTTCCATTTTCTCTTTCTCTCTTTCGCGCTCGTGTCCGAAACTGCCAACCGGGAGCCGACGATACATACACAAACATTCGTACCTTGGCGAGAGAGGTGGTCGTCGTCACCGTCGTCTTCGTCATCATCGTCGTCGTCATCGCTGCCCTCTCCCCGTCTTCCTCCATCTCGCGTGCCACCACCTTCCTTCCCCCCTCTTGATCTCCCTGCCAACCCAGGAAGCCCTGCCCCGCCCGACGCGCTCGCGCGCTTCACGTCCACACGTACGGGTAGGGTAGGGTATTATGGTCTCATACGCGCCATCCAGTCACGGCAGCTGCCATTTTTTCTTACGAGAGGGGGGCAATTGCTGACAGGGATCGCTTTCCTTCGTGCGCCGCAACTCTTTTCTTCTCTCTTCCTCGCTACATCCCCCTCCTTCCTGTCTTTCTCGCTCTGCCTTTTCTTTTCTCCTACCGCCACTCTCTCTCGAGCACAATTTATTGTTTTACCGGCGAAGCTTTAAACACGGCTGAGCGGCGGCGTCAGCCGCGGGTAATGCAGGTGGGTGGTTAGCTCGTTGCTGGCTGGCTGGACGGCAGATAGGGTGGGTAGGTGGTAGCGGTAGTGGTGGTAGTGGTGGTGGTGGTTGCGCCCGCCACCGGGCGTGGGAGTATATCGTCATGCACTCGCCGGGAAATCCCGTCAGCGTCTACTATCAACGTGTACCGGCCGATCGCTCTCTTCCCTTCCCCGCTTGATCGGCATCTTCCAACGAGATTTGCGTTACCGCGGCGAATCGAGAGAAGCGGCGACTTTTATTGATTCTTGCGAGTGCCTTTTTGCTTTCTTCACGCTTAGCGCTTTATACGCGCTTTCTTCTACTGTGCGTAGTTCAAAGCCGGAACATCCGTCTTTTTTTCTTCGCCACCTTCTTTTTTTTTCTTCTTTTTCACGTCGGTCGATTTCGAAGAAACAAAATATACGTGAACGTGTCTCAATTTATACGTCTGCGCAGGCCCTTTCACCTTGGCGATTCGATGCGCTGTTACAGTCTGTTACTGCCGTTTCCCGAGGAACGCAAAAGTACGTTCACTGCCGAGGTACTTTTTCCGCCGGGAGACTCCCCGACAGAAGTATTACGGTCGAAATAGCGTTATCCTCCGGCGGAACGAGCGTCGAAGATGAATGGGGGTTAGCTACCCTTGCATCGCCGGCGCTTTTTCCTACCACCACGCGAGATATTATTTCGTCGAATATCTCTCGCGAGCCGTTTCGAGCGCGGCATTTCGCTGGAGATAAGTCTCGACCTTAACCGGTTCAGATCCCCGTAAAAAAAAATACCGCGACGCCGTTCAGTCCATCGCGCGTAACAACGCCGTTACTTCCGCCGTGATTGGATCGGCTGCGCAATTTTGGAGAGATCAATTTCGCGAAGAGCAGAAAATAAAAATGACAATTCCGTCGCAACCACGCGTTTAGTGGCGCCAATCGGATGCAAGAGGTTAGCCGAGCGGTCAGTGTTGAACGCACGCGAAAGATTCACACGATTCTTCGACTTCCGCGCGCGGCAATTTCGACGGTGAACTTCCGAGCTATCGTTTAATCGCGGGAATCGTCGCTCGGCTGGCGGCGCGAAAATGCAAAAACATCCCGCGCGAAATAATTAACATCGCGTTAAAAAGCGGTACCAAAGCCGGTTAACGAAGAGAAGCGGCGCGCACGAAAATAAGAAGGTATTCGGGCGCGCTGGCATATTACCCCGGATATTATTATAATAAAGCAGGAAATTACCTCGTGTGATAAATGCGCGGGTAGCGATGCGGCCTCGTAAATTATATCATCAGCGGATTATCGTAATTACACATCGCGCGCGCGGGAGAAACGACGCGCAATGCCGCCGCTGCGGGGGCGGAGGATGCAAAGGAAGAGAGGGAGGGACGGGCTAAAAATTTCGCGATTCGAATTGTGTTGTTATTATTATCCCGCGGGTGGTAAACGTAATCGTTTGCGCACAAATTGCGAGTCGTGCGAAACAGTTAATCGAGCGGCGTGACGCGCGATCCGCCATACCACGGCAATGTATTTACGCGATCGATCCCTCGCTTTTATCCTCGCGACCGGAAGCGCCTGACGCTATCGTGTTATCAGGCCTCGACTTTCGGCCCAATTCGCGCGGCTCGATCATTCAATTAATCGCACCGGAGATGAGACTGCTAATTTCAGCGTGCGAAAGAGAAGCGGGGCAAGAAATTTCGAAAAAATCTCTCTGCCGGTGTGACCGACGCTGCAAAGTGTCTGAATCATTTAAACACGTTTCAAGTCTCTGTCGACGTGATAATGAATTATAAAATTGTTCCAAATTTATAAGGTCAGTCACGGATTTACGATAGAAACTGCTGGGCCCCCTATTTCAGTGTGGAATTGTCTATCACAACGCTGGGAATGGTCTAACATTGTACAGTGAACAAATTTGTGTTAAGAATATGCTCCAAATGAAATTAATATATTCACCTTGTCAATATATTTAACATTATATTGACGTATTTTTTAACCCACACAAAATCTCTGATACAACGTAATAAGGAAATATAAAGTAATAGCTTCTCGTCGAAAACGCTTTCGGCATCTTCATAGAACAATAGAAACATTTGTCTTCTTTAAATCTTTTCTTCATAAGTTAATATATAAAAAGAATGAAAGGAGTATAAAAAATCACCATACACCACTGTATACGACGGTCCATTATTTGTTTATATTATATCATACCTTTATTCGCCAAGTCTCTCTAATTTTAAATACCGAATTCGAATTAACATAATAAATGCGCTTTTTCTTAAGTCTCGGCCCACTGTTATCCGTGAAAGACATCTATGTTGAAAGACATCTACTTACTTAGTAACACTTTGCAAAGCGTAAATGTTAATAATGCACGAGGGGTAAATCAAAGCGACGGCGCGTCGTGACTCAAGCGAGAACAAGACGGAACACGGTTGTAATTAGCGCGATAAAAATCCTGTTGTGTTCGGTGAATATCAACCGCCACGTGCCCGTTTCCTTAACGAAGTCTCCTGATTTAATTATTGCCGGGGCTGCGGCGGGGAAATTTTCTGTCCGCAATTAGCGTAACACACGTGTCGTGTGGAACAGGCGCGATCGAGCCGTCCGGATTCCGCGTTATGATCTACGGTGAATGCCGGTAATTGAAAATTCCTGCGGGAGACAACGTGCAGCAACTGATATCAATTAACGGAGGCAACGAACGAATTACGTACTTTCGAGCGACTTATCCACAATGCACTATGTCAAACCTATGTGAAAACCTACGTAAAATAGAGTAGTGTAATGTAACTCAATATTTTGAGGATCGATTTTTACGTTATCGACGCTTATCGACATCGACTTTGACGTTTCCTTAAAGATAGACAGAACGCGGAATGTCGTTTGTAATTTAAAAAGCCGCTCTTGTCCCGTGCGAAATTTCATCACGCACCATTCTCACGCGAGCGGCCAGTTTTCACTGAGTTAATTTCATTTACGCTCGTCCGTCAACGTTTACGCTTTCAGGGCGGGCGGGTGCTTAAACGCGAACTCCTGCAAGCTTCTAAAAAGCTACGCCTTGGTGTGTATCAAAGAGAATACCGCCGCTTCCGGTCGTTCGGCTCTTCCGCCCTCCGCCGCCGCCGTCATCGCCACGGCTTTTTCGTCTGAAATAATCTGCCGCGCGGCGGTTATTGCCTGCATTACGATCAGGTGAACCTGTTTAATACTTGTAGACCAGCGAAAACCACTTCAAAGGACCGCGACGGAACAGACGCTGCTCGATCTCCGTAATTTTATGTATCTCCGAGCGCTGCGCGCGCGCGCGCGTTAAAAAAGACCGGCCTCGAGACGACGAATAGGCGCGATGGATAAATTCGGTCGATTAATGGACAATAAAAGTTTTTCGTTTCATATCGAATAAATTTCGCAAAATATTTGCCGGAGGAAACCGAGGCTCATAGGGAGAAAATTTGCCGAACGATGTGTTCATGTACTTATCATGACAGAAAAATAGTGGAAAAGGATTTTTCTCAAGTGAAAATGTTTATATTTTCAATACTACGAATTTTTAATATATTAGATTTATCTTAACATAATGATTGTAAATTTGCTTAATCGAGAGAATAGATAATTGAAATAAACGTAAATATTTCATCCGAGACGATACTTCTTGAAGTAAAAAATATAGTTTTCAATAGAAAGTGCGAAAAATCTGGTTAGCTAGGCAAAACGCGAGCTACTTGGCACCCACTTTTGCGGTGAAGTTTTCTCCCAACAGAAGATATAGATGGGGCGCATAGTTCCTCCAAACGCTTATTTATGTATCTTTTGTGAAAGAAATCAAAGAAAAGGAATCACAAAATGTTCTTTTTGAAACATACATACGTGCGCTTATTTCATGATTGTTATCAAAATCAATGAGATATCGCAGTTAAAAAAGCATGATTTGAGAACAATTTTTAAGAATAAATTTTCGTGCGTCTGAAAATTTGGTGTTCTCAATTGTAAATGAATAAACCTAAGTTCCTGGACTGTCCGCGAACTTACCTCGATACGGGGGAGAGCGTCATCCGCTGAAACTTTCGACATCACTCCTCTCCCCGCAGCAGATATGAACTGAAATGTTCACGAAACAAATCTATGAAGAACGTGACATCAGCCCGGAAGTGAAATCAAACATTTCTCCATACTGCGAAAACCTGAAACGAAATTGAAAAACTTCAGCTGCCTCTCAAATATATGTATTCTGTCATTTTTCC